GTGCAGATTTCGTGACAGGCACAGCACTTGGTGAGCCTCGAAGTGCAGATTTCGTGGCAGGCACAGCACTTTGTGAACCTCGAAGTGCAGCTTTCGTGGCAGGCACAGCGCATGCACCTCGAAGTGCAGATTTCGTGGCAGGCACAGCGCTTGGTGAACCTCGAACTGCAAATTTATTGGCAGGCACAGCACTTGGTGAACCTCGAAGTGCAGATTTCGTAGCAGGCGCAGCGCTGGGTGAACCTGGAAGTGCAAATTTCGCGACAGGTACAGCACTTTGTGAACCTGGAAGTGGAGATTTCGTAGCAGAGCCTCGAAGTGCAGGTTGTGCAGCTTTCGTGGCAGGCACAGCATGGTGAACGTCGAAGTGCAGATTTCGTGGCAGGCGCAGCACTTTGTGCTCTCAGATGCTCACTCTCTCACTCTCCCACTCTCACACTCGCACTCACACTCACTCTCCCACTCTCACTCACACTCACACTCCCTCTCTCCCACACTCACTCACACTCACCTTCACTTCATCACCACCATCACCTCTCTGGACCAAAATGCCTCTAGATCTCTAGACTTTCTGCTTACAGACCTCACACACGCTGTTTGGGGTCTCTTGCTGGGATAATTAGACGTGTCGTTTGAGCCATTGTTGCCTACCTGTCCCAGGTGACGTTTGGGGTAATACTTGTCCACGCTTGTCCCAGGTCACTCTCCACTAGTCCATGTCCATCCAGCGAAGCTGCTGGGATCGCGCTGCTGCAAGTGATCCGCGAGGGTTCCGTCAAGTAGAAGTCATATTATGTATGATCTGCAGTCAGTGAACTCTTGTTCGACTCACCCGTACCTGGCTGTACCTGGCCATGATTCCGATGTAAAATGTGTCATCGATTTGGCAGGTTCGTTTGTGAGCAGATTCATACCTACTCAAGGTTGCAGGACCACGGAGACTTGACTGAGACGACGGTATTTGCATCGCCAGCTGGAAGCCAAAACTCTGGTAAAAAACACTTAATGCGTGTGGAAAACTCGCTCTTAGTCAAGCAACCTCAGGTTTGACATGAGCAAGGGCCTACAACGGTGCATGTATTTGGTGCTCCAAAACCTATACTCTTGAAATCTCTTGAACATCATGTAATTTCTATTGGTAGTATATGGTACGTATGGCGCGTGTAGGTTTTCTCACACCTTTTTCTCATGCCACCTCCGCCCTTTCTCCTACTCGCACGTACCCTCATACCTGTCGTCCACTTCTCTCAGTACCCAGACCCGATCAATGGGACTGCCATATTTGCTTACCTTGCGGTGGTTTGGGGGGTCACTGTAGGCATATTCAATATGGGGTATAAGAACTGGCCTGTGTTAATCCAACAGCAATCTTAGCGTGTTCTGTTATTAAACTTGCATGTTTCCTTCTTCTTCTTCTTCTTCTTCTGCAGCTCTCCCATGTGTGCATGCTAGATGAGATAGGGCCATACGTGTGTGACCGAACCAGAAGTGATCTGAACAGTGCCCACTGCACTCCCGTACAGCATTGCCTAACATCGGGCACTGGCCCTGGCCATCGGCACGGCCTCCCCACTGAATCACGAGCGAAAGGGAGCGAACAGGGCAGAGCGTGAGCGTCGGGACCAAAACAACATATTTATTCGCAGCACATCAGAAAGTTGATCAAGAAATTGCTGAGCATCACGTGGTGCAGGCCCCCCTTCGGTGCTTGTCCATGCAAGACCTTTCCACTGTGTTGTTTCACGTGGTTCTCAAAAATTTGCAGCACGGGTCGGACTGATTCACAAGTCGCAAGGCATAACTTCATCTTTGTCTGATCATAACCCTTTTTCAGTCTAAGACATGAACATAGCGGGCGACAGCAGCCGGTGTTGAGCAACTGTCATGGACATGTCGCTGAAGGCTTTCTTTCTCTGAAGCTGTCGATCAAACTGTTGGGAGTGACTCCTTGTGTTGCAGCTCCGTAGAATTGAGCTGGTCCACGTCTCTGTCCTGCTGTCCCGGAGTATTGCAGCCCTTCAAAAATGAGGGCTATGTAACGCAACGGGAGCGCCGAAGCCACTTGTGAAAGATGTCCAACCGTTTGGAGCCAGCTCGAACCGGCCCTGCATTGGGCTAACTACCAGGAGGTCAAATCCGGAACGGTCATGAAGTGGCGTTCCGGCTCGCCCCATGCGAATTTCTGTCCTGGCGGCATACCGCCCGTTGTTGGAGAAACAGCAAGAGAAACAGGCTACTCAGGAAGAGAAGAAAGATGAGAAGAAAGAGAAGGAAGATACATCGGTCATCAATGTAGAGAAGATGACCGAGGTCTTCGACCAGTGCGCAGACATAGTGCCATTGCGGCGCTTCATTCCTGGGAAACAATGGGTGCTCGCAAATCCCAACTACCTGAATGGCAAACTCATCATCCGCATCAAGCAGGTGGAGAATGATCTCGCCCGTCCTGACTTGGTGGAGGCCGATGCGCTTTTACTTGCGCTCACAGACATTGAGGCCATCAAGCTGAAGAGTATGCAGCACCATGTGGGCATCAACTTGGAGCTTTACAGAAACCTTCGGACTCCAGTGATTAGCTCCACTCAGAAGGACAGACTGAGGACATTGCACGACCAGGTTTTCATCACCGCAGTGAACGCACCTGTCCTCGAGTTCATCGGATCAGGAGTTGAAGAAGATGGGGAGCAGGTACATGTGCTACAATAATTCAGCATACCACCGACATGCATGCATGTTTCCTAATTTGTCGCGAGTCGCACGCCTCTCACCAAAACATATTGCAGGAAATCTTTGCAAACCAAGTGCCAGAGAACCATGAGCAATTGCATGTGGTGTGCGGGCCGGCCATGCTATGTACCTGCATCATTTTTCGTTTATTATGTATTCTCGTATCGCTTTTCTGTGGGATAGAATTTCTTATATCACTGGACAACAAAAAGCCTTAAAACCACATATTTTTTGTTTCAGTGCGATCCACGGACATTAGCTGGTCCAGCCCGCTTGGCCAGGTGTTCCGCGCGTTCTTCTTCCGCTCGGCCCCTCCGGGAGCACACGATCCGCAGGTGCCGAAGGAAGAGCCGTTGGTCCAAGTGGAGTTCGGCTCGGGCACCGAGCGCGCCGCGGAGCGGACAGGTCCGCGTGACCAATGCCACGGTTCTGAAGATGTCGGCTTCTTGATCACTCAATTTCTGTGACATCCTGGGAGATGGCCAATTTGCATTACAGTTGAAATGCCACAGAGCATACTGGACATACTGGAAACTTAAACCACATGATGAAATTCACCGGTCTATTTGACCAATGGTTGGGGTATCCCGTAGCAGGGATGATATACACGGTGTCCCGTTTTATTTGGTGGCTGTTATGGTTATACAGATCAGGACTCCAGGCAACGAGTATAAGTCGTTGGGTCAAGTCGGCGGCCTATGTGAAGCCGCCAAGCGCGGCCTGGTGTTTTGTAGCCAAATCGATAGGCATTGGGAGGGACCTTCATCTCGCGCCTCAAAAACAATCTCCCTCTGTAGGTCCTCCTTTCCACCTTCTCCCAAGTTTTTCATTTTCTGAGCTTTCGAGACTGCGACCCATGACCAAGACTTGTTTGGAGACCGGGGAGACCGGGGCCTTTAAACAGAAAGTCATCCCTTTGGTAGTTATAACCCAACTGTAAGTTATTGTCGATGCGTAGCAAGAACAGGACCCATGGTCGGGGTAGTTGATTTAGAGACCCTTAGCCGTAGCCCCTTAGTGACCACATGTGACCACATGTGGCCACTATAAAGATCTATAGTGGAATCATTTTCAGGTGCTCCAGGCACTCAATTAGCATGGATCTTTTTGCCTTCAGCATCATGCTTCAAGATGTGTGTTTTCCCGAATGCGTAGCGAAGGGTTCTCGTTTAACTTGGGAGTCTGAGGGTAGAGCTGTGTTTGCCCGACCTTGTTTTCGAGTTCGCGACCGTTTGTAACCGTTTGCAACCGTTTGCAACCGTCCGCAACCGTTTGCAACCGTCCGTATGATGTCTCTATGGCCCTGCCATTGGGGGAAGCTTTTGCAAGTGACTTTTCATGGATGCGTCACGTGTCAGTTGGCGCCGCTATTACATTGTGATTTGCGTGAAAGTGACATGTCGCGCAAGGAACGTGATGCATTTCGCTGCACAGGCGCAGGGTTTCGTGAAAGCGACACGTTTTTGTCGGTATTCCATTGGGATTAGCGTTTGGAGAGTCGTGTTTTTGGGGTGTTGGATGTGGCCGTGCCAGTGGGGTTTGCGTTTCAGGGTGTGGCATCGAAGCGCTGTTTTCGTGACAAGTCTCAGCTGAAATGGTGACACGGCAATTTTGTGGATGGGAGTGTGCTCAGAACGGGCCGAAATCATTCCAAACGTGTGGTGTGGTGCAAATTTTGTTGAAGCTCACATGAGATGACATTGTCACTTTTCGTGGCAGGCGCAGTAGTTTGTGCGGGTTTTGAGGTGTGGAAGTGCGATTTTCGTGGCAGGCGCAGGGAATCGTGAGGTTGCGATGTGTGACGGAGGTGACATTTCGTGGCAGGCGCAGGACTTTGTGCGCGCGTAAGACATGCATGTGGACGTGGAAAGATTCGTGGCGGGCGGAGGAAGTCTCGTACGAAACGCTCGTTTTGGAGACTTGACGTGTGACTTTTGGAGGAAGTCTCGTACGAAACGCTCGTTTTGGAGACTTGACGTGTGACTTTGGAAGGAAGTCTCGTACGAAACGCTCGTTTTGGAGACTTGACGCGTGACTTTTGGAGGAAGTCTCGTACGAAACGCTCGTTTTGGAGACTGCCACGTCGGAAAGTGACATACCTGGCAGGACTTTGTCTGTGTTACACTTTCTAGCAAAATGTCTAGCAAAGAGTGTCAAGAAAGAGTGTCTAGCAAGAGTGTCTAGCAGAATGTCATTTCAAGAGTGTCCAGCAAGAGTGTCTAGCAGAGTGTCCTGCCCAGCAAGAGTGTCCAGCAAGAGTGTCTAGCTAAGAGTGTCCAGCAAGAGTGTCTAGCAGAGTGTCAAGCAAGAGTGCCCAGCAAGAGTGCCAAGCAAGAGTGTCAAGCAAGAGTGT